GTATTTTGTTTACCCTGCTTCATGGTAGGTCTGTTAATGGGAGGGGGCAGTAGACTATAAAAGACTGCCTATTAGCAACAATTTTTTTGGCTACTGCTGAGACACTAGGTGACCTGTGAAGCTGGGTCCTCTGTTCAATGTTGGTGAATAAACACCCAGTGGGCCTGCACCTTTTCTCTGCCTCAAGTCTCCTGCTTTATCTAGCCACTAAGGGCCAATCTAACAAGTGGTGTCAGAAGCTGGGGCCGGATTCACAAAGTGGAGTTGAGGATGATAAAAGAAATAGAAAAGAAAAAGCATGTCCAGCATGTGGAGCTTCATGATGGAGCAAAGTCAACTGATGACCAGGAGGGTGTGGCATCCAGCAACCCTGAGGAGGAGATTGAAGAACTGGCAGAGTTGGTTAAATCACTCATTCAGTCTCAAGCAGCAAGAGATCAACAGATGGACAAAGATGCCTCCTGTCAAGAGTACAGATGGAAGTGTATGCAGCACCAGTTTCACCAAATACAGCTACAAGTTAATGAAAGAAAACAAAACTCTAGAGGTGAGCAGCAAGAGCCTGGAGCGGTGCAGCCTCTAGATGGCACAGATGATCCAGGTGAGGGTGTGAGTCAACAACCAACCATATTTGTTGGACCTGAGAGGGATTTCAGCATACACAGAGAACTTAAGCTGCATCCTCTTTCATCTAATGATGACATTGAACATTTCTTGACCACTTTTGAAAGAATGGCCCAAGTCTGTCGATGGCCAAGAGATGAATGGGCTGTTCGTCTCATTCCCCTATTGACTGGTAAGGCACAAAGTGCTTATGTATTAATGGATATTGCAGACTCAGAAAATTATGAAAAAGTGAAGGTGGCCATATTGCAAAAGTATGAGATTACAGCTGAAACCTATCGTCGACGTTTCTGTTCTCTGGACATTTTTCCTGGGGAGACTCCACAAGAGCTTTATGTGCACCTCAAGGACATGTTTTCCAAGTGGGTTAAACCAGACAAGGCAACAGTAAAAGAAATTTCAGAAACGATGATCCTAGAACAGTTCCTAAGGATGGTTAACCCTGAACTGGAAGTGTGGCTTCGTGACCATGACCCAAAGACAGCGGAGAAGGCTGCACAACTGGCGGAGGTCTTCACAGCAGCTAGACGAGGGATGAAACTTGGTACTTTTGGCCGGGACACCAACTTTGCCCACAAAAGTAAGTCCACTGGGGGTGAATGGGGTGATGGTCATTCAGGGAACAGGGCATTTTCTAGTGGTAGGCAGATTCCCTCTAATAAGTACAAACCTGATTTTGCTAAGAATTCCTCTTTTCTTTCTGTTAAGCGAGACATAAGATGCTATTTATGAAACAGCATCTGCCGACACATTGGATCAATCTCTGTGGGCTCCTTTGATCGGCTCCGTTACATAGTGAGGGTGGGTAGTCTGGGATCTGACCTTGTGGGGCCTTGGGGTTGATGTGGAGG